TTCCCTCGGCGGGGCAGCGTGCGGGACTCGCCTCGGAGACTTCTGTGATTGAAGGGATTTTGCAGGAAGCGCTCCTCAGCCCGACGTAGACTGTGTGGTTTCTCTTTTGTGTTCGGTTGTTCCTGTTTTGTTTTTTTGGGTTTTTTTTTTGTACTTTTTCGTTATTTTTAAACGTACTTTGCTTTGGAATAAGGGAAACTTTTTATCTCCGGAAACATGTCGACGGGAGAAAGTTTTGAGTCTCGGTTTGAAAAAATCGACGTGACTTTAAAGGACCCCAAATCCGAAGTGAACGTGGACTGTTTGCTGGTGAGTAGGGAGCGCCAGTGGGCCCCCGGTCCCGTCTCCCCGAATTTCTTACCCTGTGGGACCGAATCTCGCTCTCCTGGCTGAGTCACCACCTTGCTTAACTCCGCACTAGTGTTTTGTTTACTCAGCGTTGAGCTGAGGGTGCGTGAATGTCTCTGTGCAGGTTTTCACGCCAAGGAGGCGCCCGCCCAGTCCTACCTCAGACTTGTCATCTCTCTCTCGCTTCATGCGCCGACTGTCATAAGGGGCGGTGGACACTTGGTACAAAGGTGTAAATCCTGAGTGCTCGTCCTGTGTGTGAGCAGAAGACTGTAAATAACTTTGATATCCAGTTCACTCTTCAGCAAATAACTTGAAAAGTGAGATCCGCTTGAGATCCGTTGAGCACTGCAGCGCTGACGTCAGCCTGTTTAGTGCAGCCGTTCACAGATGCTAATTAATGATGTGTAAAACAGCTCTAAGATTAATATGCCCTTACAAGTGGGGAGGTAGTCGTGTCAGGGATTTAAACGCAGTTGAAACTAGTTGTTGTTCTAGGCCCAGCTGGGATAGAGGGCTGCTTGTCTATTGTTTCCATTCTTGATCATACCTGATGGTTCAGTGGATCTCTCCAGTGCTGTCAGGGCTATAAATGCAAAGAAAGCAAACCATAACACTTCCTGATTGAGCATAAGGTGGTGGTGGTAGTTGCTTGAGAAAAGTGGATGATGTTTTAGTTCCGATTGTAAGAAGTACCTCAACAAAGTGTATGTCAAATCGAATGAATTTGTTTGGGGTGTAGCTGAGTACTTAGATACGTCTTGAGATGCCCTTAAGTGGTAGCAAATTGCAATTTGTGCTTTTTGGCTGAAGCGGACAGTTTATTTTGTTTGTAGCAAGCAATAAAAGTTCTTTAGTGTATTTTTTCCTGTCTTTCTGTTGTCAGATTGGAGAACAAGTAAATTGAATTTGTTCCTTATATGAACTCTGACATTTGAGTTTGAGGGGGAAGGCAGATGTGGGGGGTGTAAACAGCTCTTCTTGGCTTTTAGCAGAAAGCTTGTTTTTGAGCATAAGGTGGTGGAGAGGTGAAAAGAATCTAGCGAAAGAGTCTGTGCATGTTTATGATATTGTGCACTCTCTTTAGCTTATTACTGGTTTTTGAGGCTCTGAAGTATTGACATATCAAACCTACATCACTGGATAAAAGCAGAGCTGTGTGGATGTTGCTACAACAAGGAAAAATAGCACTGCATCTTCCAGTTGACTTGCTTCTTTTGATCTAGTTTACATATCTGTTGTCTTAGAACCACAGCTAATGAGAAGAGCTCTGATACTTAGGATACACTGCGTCAATTTTGATAACTCAAGGCTGCTGTCACATCTGACACTTTTATACTTGGCTTCTGTTCACAGATGTCAAGAGTATAGATCCAGTTAGAGAGTGCAGAGTTTTTCTTTTACTGTGACACAATTTGCTTGTATGTGATTTAATGCTGGCCGTGCTAAAGAGACCTTCCTACAGTGATAATAAGGAGGTTGCAGATATTAGACATGCAGTTCATAGTATCATTAACTGTATTCCTTCACCTTTTAGTCAGTTCAGGGATTTTCTTCCTTTCAGTTAGCTTAACTGTGATTTGGGGCTAAGTTGTAGTCAGTTTGGGAATGAACTTGTTGGGATGCTTCCTGTCATGCTTATGTAAAGTTTTAGAACATGTGTTTGCATCTCGGATCTTAAGAATGCCCTTTAAAGTGACAGTCTCATAGAAATTTTCTGAGACTTTTGTGCATCTTTTTCCATATTTTTTTAAAGACAGCTTCTTATGATATAGTCATTAGAATTATGTTGACTTTTTTTTAGCTAGCCATAGTTACAGATACTGTTCTTGTGAACTAATATCAATTAAAAAAAAGTGCTGCTTCTGAAGATACCAGCTGATATGTTAACTTCCTGTGCGCTTTGGTCTTTCTGCTGATGAGACTTTTACTTTGTTTCATCTCTCTCTTCTGAAGTTGGTTCTTGGACCCTTCTATAGAATTTAAGTATCCTCTAAAGAGTTTAAATATTTTACACCAGTTCTGAGTATGATGCTTCACACCAGAAGCATCATTCTTCACCAAAGATGCTATTTATATATCAAATCAGTTGAAATCTATGTGGATATGTTTTTAAGGAAGAAATCCTTAGGTGTAGGTGTAACTGACTTGCGGTTAATATATATATTAGAAGATGAACACCCCATTAGCCTCTGGTCAAAGAAGGGGACTTGACAGGCTCTAGGCCTGGTATGCTTAAAAAGGAAATAAAATTATGTTTTAATGTTCAGACTACATACCACTTTCTTAATATAAAACCATTTAAATTTTAAAAAACCTGTTTTCCTTTGATTAATTTGTGAGTTCCTGTTATTTATAATTGCTTTTGCTTTTCCTGAGCAGAGGTGTTAGCTAACTGTATGCATCTGAGTGGTAATATATGAATAACTGATAGATGCTTTAGTTCAGCATCTCATGTTCCAAATGTGTAGACTTGAAATGCTGGAGTTCCTTTAGATTCAAGAAAGGCATTTTTTGGCTGTGCAAAGAGAAGTCTCAGCAAGTCCTTGGCTTCTCTTAGGATAGTTTTATCCTCTTTAGCTTTACTTTATTTTGCTTCTCCTCTTGTTTTCTGTCAGTTTGTAACCCCTGTAGACTAAAAGACAGGCATGGAATAACATTTAAATAAGTTTTGTAACCATTTTTGGTTTTGTAAATGTCATAAGCAAGTCTTTGTATGAAAGATTCTAAATTTATATGTGAACACTGAGAAAAGAAGATGGAGGGGCTGGTACGAGGGAAGGCATGTTATGGTTTCAGGAAGGTGTGGGAGAACAGTGCTGGCAACAGAACAGGCATAAAAGGCACACTGAGGACTATATAACTTCAATTTACGTACTGCAGGAAGGAAATTCATAAAGCTGAGGTGCAAGAAAGAAATGTGGTTGTTTTTCCTGTTTTCTCTTATGCACCTGAAATAAAAATAGAGCAATAAAACTGATTAAGTTGGAACTGTCTTAACCAAATTTATTTCTTTGTGGCTTCCGCGCACTTGAGTTAGTACTAGACTGGACAGTTGTAGGTAGCCTGTCTTTTTTGATGAGCCACGAGGAGGCCAAAGGCTAAGTTCTGTGTAAAGTGTATGCCTCAGCATAATGTAGTGCTTTTTCTCAAAGTGTCAAGTGCTAGGAGTCCTACAGTCATAAAAAGATCTATTAAGACTGTGAAGAGTGTGTTAGGTAGGTATGCTATAGGGTCTGCAATGGTCAGATACTGGTGAATACCCTAGATGTGCAAAGTAGAGCACATTATTAACCTGAGCTTAGTGTCTTATTAATGATATTAAACAGTGGAAATAGTATTCACTATGCATACTTACACAACAGTTTTGGAATAACACCAAATTTCTTACTCTCTGTGTTTCTTACTAAATCCCAGGGGTTTATGGGCTTCCAGTCTTTGGAGAGTGGAGAGGGAGGGGTATAACGGGTGAATGGATGGGGGATGTCATGAGCTGAAGACGCCTATACTTTTGATTCAGAAATAGAAGGTTTTGTTACGATGCTCTTTGCTCTGATAACCCACAAAAATTACTGTCATGTTTTATGTAGACACTTGAGTAACTCAGTTATTCAAGTACTTAATCAATTACTTGAGTAATTGATTTTTAAAACTTAAGACTTTTGATGGTCTTAATCTTCAAAGATGTCAAATGTTTCACTTGTTCAGCAGTTTGACTTCAAATTATCCGGCAACAGTAAACACTACCTATGACAAACTTGTTTTATCTAGTCTCAAGAGGTTTCTATTTTTGTTGCACCAAAAATACACAGGTACAGAGCTTGATTCACCTGTTTTTCCTAGGTCTATTTAACGTTCAGCTAGATGAATTCATGTTCTTGTATCTTGTATAGGGAAAGGTGAGGAGATTTCATCCTCTTTGGAATTTGGAGTTATAAATCTCTGTTGTCACAGAGATTGTCTTCTGCCTAACTTGTTAGAAAGCACTTCTGAAGACCTTGTGATGAGGCATTTGGTAAATTAAAAAAAAACCAAAAATGAATATAACTCAAAGTATGTTTGCTTCAGAAATTCCTATCTGTCAAAATAACAGTAAAAAGCCACCTTCACTGAAGCCATGTTAACTATGCTCTTAGAATCTGAGTGATAAAATATTAGAGAAACTTAGTATCTGAGAACTTTACTCATTTGCTAATAAAGCACGCACTTAGTAAAAGCAGAATCTGAACATTTGCAGACTATCAACTTCAGAATACTCTAAGTTTTCTGGAGGTAGTTCAGAGTAAGAGAAAATGCCATAATAGAAACATCACCAAGGAGTTTTAGTCCACCTTCTTTTAGATTCAAGTGCAAGGTCCTGTGCTTGAATTGGACCAGTGACCAGTATGAGTACAGACCGGATGTTGAATGGATTGAGAGCAGCCCTGCAGAGAAGGACTTTGGGATGTCCTGAGAGAATATTTGAATATCTCTTTCTTCTCACAGTGAGAGATTTTTTTACTAGAGCCTATAGTGGCAAGACAAGGGTCTTGACTCTTTCAGAAAGGTGGTAGGTTTAGATTGGACATAAGAAGGACGTGGTTTACTGTGAAGTACTGTGAAGGACTTGCCTAGAGAGTCTGTGGATGCCACATTCTTGGAAGTATTCAGTGTCAGGTTGATCAAGGCTTTGAGCAGCCTGATCTAGTGAAAGATGTCCCTGCCAGTGGCCAGAGGGATTGGAACTAGATGATCTTTAAAGGTCCTTTACAACTCAAACCATTCAGTTTGGTTCTGTCTGACTTAGAAGTATAATTCTATGTCTTCAAGTTACTGTGTCTAGGCTTTATATGCGAAACTGATCATAATTGCAGGTTAATATTGCCTGTTCATTACTATGAGTTGTGAAATGCATAGGTTGATGTGAAATTGATGAGAAAAGGTGTAGCTTGGTATGTTAATGAAAGATAAAATGCAACCAG